GGTCGTGTCCGTTATTTTGTAGGGCCTGTTTTAGGTGGTTTATTTCTGTCCGTAGATGTCCTCTGTCGGAGATGGCGAAGGCTCTGTGTACCAGAGAGTTTATTACTGATTGTTTTTGTGCTGGGTGGTGGTGTGATTCAGCATGTAAGTATCTGTCCGTGTTGTTTTTCTGTACACTTGATGCCCTAGGGTGCCGTTGGTCTCCTTTGACACCAGCACATCTAGGAATGGGAGTTTCCCGTTTTCCTCTATGTCTATAGTGAAACGGATATTGGGGTGTTGTTTGTTGAGGTGGATGAGGAATTTTCGGAGTTCAGATCTGCCGTGTCTCCATATCACAAATGTGTCGTCTACGTACCGGAACCAGACTTCTGGTTTCTTTGGTGCTTTTTTGAGAGCCTCTTTCTCGAAGTGTTCCATGAAGATGTTAGCGATTACAGGAGAAATCGGAGAGCCCATCGCTGCTCCTGACGTTTGTTCGTAGAAATGGTTGTCGTAGGAGAAGTACGTGGTCGTTAGGCAGTGCTCTATTAGTGGGATGAGGTCGGAGGAGACTTTTTGTGAGGTTTTTATTATGTTAATCGTATCTTTTATTGGAACTTGTGTAAACAGGGATTCTACGTCGAAGCTAACGAGTAGATCTGTGGGCTGTAGTCGGATTTTTTGGATTTTATGTATGAAGTCCGTTGAGTTGGTTATGTGTGATTCTGTTTTTCCAGTCAGAGGTTGTAATGACAAAAAAGACATAACCAAAATAATCAACAAACACACAAAACAACGAGACAAAACAAACAAGACAACGGCTCCGAACACACAAACAGACGACAGGACCCTAACCATTCTCCCTTACGTCAAAGGAACTACAGACTGGATCGGCAGGATATTGAACAAACACAATGTCCGAACTGTCTACAAACCACCCAAGAAGATAGGACAAATCTTAAGAAACCCCAAAGATCCAAGACCGCCACTCAGTTCCGCAGGAGTATACAGAATACCGTGTTCCTGCGGACAAATATACATCGGGGAAACCGGGAGAACGGTAAACCTACGGATAAAAGAACATCAACGAGACGTCAGACTGAAACACGTCATACAGTCGGCACTATCAGAACATAACGTCGAACCA